TTTCAAAAAAAAAAGATACTAATATAATTATTTTAACTGCAGAATTTAAAATTACAAGTTACGATAAATCTGCAAATTAGTTAACTACTAATACAATTACGAAAAACGTGCATAACTTTACAACTATTAATCCAATTATAATAAATATTTATATTTATATATTTTTGAATCTATCATCCAACTTTACTTATGCGTCAAATATCGATTTTCTTTGATCAAAGTACTCAAATATCTCATTGAAGTCACTGTATGGATAAAAAATAAAAATAAAAAAATTTGTGAGATAATACAATTACGAAAACGTACATAACTTTACAACCATTAATTCAATTATAATAAAATTTTATATTCATATATTTATGAACTCACTAAACAACTTTAGCAGGTAGCAATCTTATAAGATTGCTACCTGCTTGCATTATATTGCTATCTACCTATATTATACTGCTACCTACCTATGTTATAATGCTACCTACTTTTATATTTTCGATTCTCTATGATCTTTTTATTTTATTATGGCTATCCACTTGATTTTATTGTTCTGTGATCTTTTTATTGACTTGTAGCTATCTGCTTGATTTTATTGCTCCGTCCTCTTTTTATTATCAAGAAACTATTCATGTGAAAGAAGACCATCTGTTATAAAACTAAAATATGAAGGCTTCTGCAAAATTATATTATATAAAAATAGCAGAAGCCTTCATCTGAACTTAGTGAGCAAATCGTAAATAAACATATTCTTAATAGATGATACTTAGGGTAGTCTTCTGCGTAATCTATTATATAAATATTGGCAGAAGACTACTCAAAATACATATATCCGACTACATATTAGTGATAGGGTAGCCTTCTTCTGTCACAATATTCTATATAATGATTATGAAGAAGGCTACCTGAATACACATACCCAGATACATACTAGTGATAGGGTAGCCTTCTTTTGTCACAATATTTTATATAATAATTACAGAGAAGGCTACCCCCTTCAGATTGGATTATGTATCTATGGGGCTTCTTCCATTTTTTATATAATAATTATGAAGTTACCTCTTTTATGCTTTCAGTTCCTAACACTTCTCTGGCACTTTCTCGCAGCTTTAAATGTCATATCATACTAGATACATATCTAAAAAAGTATAGCCTTCTCCTATTTTTATATAATATAATTATGGAGAAGATTACACATTTTCAGATACAGCTAGATGCCTTTATTCTATAATTTGCTCACTAAGTTTGTTATAGCTTCTTTTCACATCTATCAAAAAAAATATTTTAAACATTTCTGATTTATATAAAGTTATATAATTCCTTTCGAACTGTTAACATGTATACCCCAATTATTTCTGACCAAACTGATCACACTGAAACTGACCCAACGCTCGTCCGCTATAACGGCGTTGAGTCTAATAAATATTTAAGTGCCTCTAGCAGTTGTACTGATAATGTATCTAACTTAGGGTCAAATAATTATAATAACTATGAGTCTAATTATGAGTCAGATAATGAAGAAGCTCCCTGCTTCTCACCTAGCATTACTATGTCTCAATCATTTCAACTACTAAAAGCAGATGAGCAAAAGGCTAATGCAACATATTCTTTAAGACAAGAAAAGTTCAATGATAAATTTTCTACTAAAGATTTGGTAAGTGCCATTCGGGAAATTCTCTCATCACCGTCTAGAGATATGTCAGATGATAAAGGCTCATTGGAATATCTCCCAATCTATTCATTCCTCTTTCTAAATGTAAAAGGCTCTAGTTTATATAATGCCTATGACCGGGATGATGTTGAAAATAAATTGGTTATCAAAATCAATCAAGATGATCGAGCTCCAAAGTTTTCTGTTGCAGATGATGTTTCAGAAGTATATGGTTTGTCAGAAATTCATGAATGCATTAACGGTCAAAAACCTTTAAGAGCTATAATTGATATCGATGCTATTCATGATGATATGAAAGCAAATGGTGTTAAGTTCAATAGCGTATTTATCTGAATCTGTTGCTCTTTTATAAGAGCTTTATATTGAATTCTTGACTGCAGTTGGGAAGACATTCTCAAAGGATTGGTAATCACTATATTATCAGACCCTAGCAAGTCTAGCTATCATATTCTATATGCACCAGCTCTCCTTATAGATCATCATGAACTCAAAGCATTCACAGAACTAGTACATACCTTAACTGGGAAAAAGTTTGGTAAGTATATCGATCAAGGATTACTGAGTCAAAACTTTAACCTTCGCCTTATTGGTTCAGCAAAAAAAGGTCATGTAAAGCATATCCTTCAGTTTTCTCTTGATAATGGCTGGAATGAACTTGAATACGCTAGGGTTCAACCACCTACTAGCTTAGGACTTGAAGTAAGACCCTGCATTCTTAGTGTGAAAAAAATAATAATCTATTACCAAAGGTAAGTCATTAAAAATATGCAGATCTAGTCTTACATATACTAACTATCTTGGAAATTGGATTATCGAAGAAAGGGAAGAGACAAAGGAAAACTTTGTATATTTTAATCGAAAAGCTTCACTAGAATGCTTACTCGGCAAATATATACATGACAAGGATCAGCTGTAGTTCAGTCGTGTATGTGCTAGCAGTGGAAAATTCATCATAAAATGCTTTTGGCAGAATAGTGATGAACCAGGGGAATTTTTGAATGTGACCCATCTATTGCAGAAAAAATTCAGCAAGAAAATAAAAAATCTCTGCAATCCTTTCACAAGGTTAAGGTTCTGGGTTTTCCTAAAGCCTTCTTAAAATTCCCATCTTGGGTCAAGTATGATGACCCCCTTATAGCTACAGAAATATATGAGAAGAGATATGTAAGACCATTACCTAATAAAGGCGATATTTATGTGGGATCACCTTGGGAGACAGAAAAAACATATATTCTAGAGCATCTTACTATATCTGATGACGTGAATTTACTAGTATTATCCACATGTCACTCCTATTCGAATGCTGTTACTACAAGACTTAATCTCAAATAATATTGCAATATCGATGGTAATATAAATCTTTCTGATCACAAGAGAGTTGTGTGTCAGATAGAAAGTTTACATCGTATTACTAATAATTGTAAATGTAATAAAAAATGCAAATGTCTTCCAATTCAATATGACTTATGGATTGATGAAATAGTATTTATAATTGCTCAAGCACAAAGTCGTTTAGCAGATCAATCAATAAAGAAATTATATAAATTAATTCAAGAGGCTAGACGTATTATCGTTATGGATAATGACCTTACTGATCTTAACATTGAATGGATTAAGACCTTTGAAAAAATATACCTTTCTTTATTATTCATAATACTTATCAGCCTCAAAAAAGTAAGATGTTCCGCTTGGCTCCTAATAAAGAAATAGTATTAGCTGAACTTTGGGATTGGGCTAAGCAGATGATTTCACTACCTTTTGAGGAATGGAAAAGCACATCACTTATCTGCCACCTTAGAAAGAATATACAAGGGATAGTTCATGCTCTTAAGACTGATTTCCAGAACTACGAATCAAGGAATATCATGGTAAATCAGATTCTGAGGAAAAGGCTCGTGATTTTAGCAATGTAGAAGAATCATGGAAAGACTTAGACCTAATTGCCTATACTAGCACTCTAAAAATAGGAGTAT